CCTGCCATAACAACCAGCTATTTTTTAGAGACGGGGTCTCACTCTAGCTCAGGTTGCTCTCAAACCAGTGAGTTCAGGCAATCCACCCGCCTCAGCCTCCCAAGTGCTGGGATTCCAGGTGTGAGCCACTGCTCCTGGCTCTTTTTCTCTCTCTCTCTCTATTTTTTTTTTTATTGAGGCAGTTTGACTCTGTCACCCAGGCAAGAGTGCTATGGTATCAGCCTCACTCACAGCAACCTTAAACTCCGGGGTTCAAGCGATCCTCCTATCTCAGCCACCCTAGTAGCTAGGATTCAGGAACCCACCACAATGTCTAACTAGTTTTTCTATTTTTAGTAGAGACGTGTTTCACTCTCGCTCAGCCTGGTCTCAAACTCCTGAGCTCAAGGGATCCTCCCACCTTGCCCTTCCAGAATGCTAGCATTACAGGCATGAGCCATCACACCAGCCTGTGAGAAATTTCTAAAGAATCCAGGTCAGAAAGAGATGATGATGGATAACTGTCCATCCCAATTTCCAGCCTCCTGACTTCATTCTCAACCATCTTCCTATCACATGTAATCCACATTCACTGAGGAACTCTGGGCCCCCTGCACCCTTGGGCACAACCCCAGTCTGCATCTTTTCACTGCCTTCATTTCTTTTTTTTTCAGAGACAGGGTCTCACTCTGTCACCAAGGCTAGAGAGCAATGGCATCATCATACCTCACTGTAACCTCGGAGTCCTGGGCTCAAGCAATCTTCCTGCTTCAGCCTCCCGAGGAGCTGGGCCTATGGGCATACGCCACTAGGCCTGGCTAATTTTTCTATTTGTTATAGAGATAAAGCTTTGCTATGTTGCCCAGGCTGGGCTCAAGCGATCCTCCCACCTTGGCTTCTCTAAGTGCTGGGGTTACAGGCATGAGCCACCACGCCTGGCTCATTTTGTTCTCATTTGCTTATTTTGCTAATATTGCTTGTTTCACTTCTTGTGTGTCTCTGCGTTGACCCAAAGCTTACCCTCTGACTTCAGCTTCTTTTTCTGACCCCATGTTCCTCCATATTACCCAAAGCCCAGTAAAAGATGATCTCTCCCGGTCTCGGCGCCTGTGGCTCAGGTGGCTAAGGCGCCAGCCACATACACCTAAGGTGGCGGGTTCGAATCCAGCCCGGGCCCGCCAAACAACAATGATGGCTGCAACCAAAAAATAGCCGGGCATTGTGGCGGGCGCCTGTAGTCCCAGCTACTTGGGAGGCTGAGGCAGGAGACTCGCTTGAGCCCAGAGTTGGAGGTTGCTGTGAGCTGTGAGGCCACGGCACTCTACTCAGGGTGACAGCTTGAGGCTCTGTCTCAAAAAAAAAAAAAAGATGATCTCTCCCCTGCTACTCTCACTTCATGTCCTTGAGCCCAGCCTCAGCTGTTCACCCACAGCCCTGTCCCCAAACCACTCTGTTGTCCATGTAGAACCAGAGCTTCCCTGCCCCCAGGAGGCTTCCCTTCCCTAAAAGTTCTTCTCTGTCTGGTGG